CAAATGTTTGCAAAAAGATAATTTTGGATTTTTTAGGGGGTATGGCTACCTCCTAGTGGGCATAAAAACAGCAATAAATTCAAAAATTTTTTTAGTTTAAAAAATAATTCAATATAAAATCAAATTAAAGCACTGGTTAGTGCTTATATTAAAGTTCATAATTTTTTTTGTATTTTTTGCATCCAAAATAGCGACGCTACCGGTGACAGAACCTAGTACATGTTTTTTTGTTGGAGGTGCTCCGGAATTTTACATCTAGCATCCACAAATTTTGATCTAGATCAAAAAAAAATTTTTTTTAATGTACATTAAAATACCTAGAAAAGTACATAGGGGTTTGTAAAAATATTGATATTTTCAAAAATGGCAGATATTTGAAGTCACACTTACATTTTTTGCAAAAAAAATTTTATGAAAAATTGTTTATAAAATAAAAAGTTTTTTATATATCAAAAAGTCCCTATATACTTCTCTGCGGAATGTGTCGAAGAAGTTGCAATTAAAATTTGAACCTATTCGAATAAAAATTATTCAAGTTATTTGTCAAGCCGATTTGAAAAGCGTTGTTTTAAAAAAACTAATAGCGCCTCCATTTTGGATGCAAAAAAATCCAAAAAAATTTTTTTTGTAGACTTTAATATATGCACTAATTAGTGCTTTAATTTGATTTTATATTAAATTATTTTTTAAACTAAAAAAATGTTTGAATTTATTGCTGTTTTTATTCTCGCTAGGGTGGCCATACCACTTAATATTGAGAGGGCTAACTTCACATAGGTGAGTGCAAGTAAAAAATTAGAATGTAACTATGTTTTTGACTTTAGTTCAAAATAAAACTTGAAAGTTAATTTTTTCGCAATAATAATGTTTCTTTATCATATTATCTATCTCATGAATAAATATACTTAACAATGCTATGCAAAAAATTTCATACAATTTTCTAAGTTTAGGTGCGCAGTACTACTGCCTTTTTAACAACGATTCGAATGCCTTTTACATGGAAAGAACGACTCTTCATCGCCATAGCTTGGGTACCAAAAGGAACTATGCAGGTAAAAAGAGTTTTTTTTCCATTTCCACGTGAAATAACAGTTTTGTTGAAGTATGTAAAAATTAAGCCAGATACAGATCCGCGAAAATAAATATATTGAGCCATCAATATAATTATTATACAGAACGCTCAAGCATGATGATAATGCTGTAAAAAGTTGTGTCATTCTAACAATCAGCCTGAATATCTAATAATAATTACTTAATAGATAGTCATATCTAACATATAATTCTTGTTATAGATTTAATTATAATGAGCTAAAGTTTTAAACACTTCAGTAAGACCATTCTTTCTGTGCAGTTAATTCTCTATCGAAAATTTATCAAAATTAATAATTCGATGAATGTTGATATTTCGAAAATTAGGCAGCATTAGCGCCGATGGCATTTGAACGTGCCAGAAAAGAAGGCGACCCCACGAAAATAGAATTAGCTCTCGACGTGGTGAGGATATCCGTAATTGCTATAGTATTTCTAGCGCCACTCGGAGCAATCGGCATGATGGCTAGCGGTCCCTATCTCCTAAACAAGATTAATATCGAAGAACACCGAAGAGAGCGGGAATTGAGCTACTTGCGCATCGTCGCTCTACAACCAGTTAGGAGACGTAGAAAAAGAAAGAAACCAGCTCACAATACTATTACGACTCTCTGATCGCCAATAGACTTTGTAACATTAAATGTATCATGCCACGTATTAAATACATTTAATGTTTTCGAAAAATGCTTTTATTTCCACGTCGCTATTAATTTCTTACTTTAAAAATATTGTAAAAAATATAAATTTGTTAAGTTGTATTGTAAGTGACTACATTTACACGTCACCCTTAATCGGGTTTAATAATATCTGTAGTTATAAAATTAGTCAGTCATAGCTGCTCCTCGGAAGAATGAAACAACTGTGATTGGCCAGTTTCATAACTACAGATGTTATTAAATCCGATTAAGAGTGTAAATGTAGTCACTTACACTACAACTCAATTACTACTTAAATGAGAGCTTGTACCCTCAAAAATATTGTTGACATAAGTGAATGCCCTTGAGAAACCCCTGGCAAGACATTAATTACATTGTGTTTTACTGTCCTCCCACCATTCCTAAATCATGTAAGCCATTATAAGCTAAGATCCTTTCTCAAGAAAAATTTTCTGTTAGCTCCTATAGATATGCATTTTATTTTAAAACACTCTTCGGCTAAACTCTGCCGTTTTTTGCTTGCATATAAAAAATCTGATAATCTATCCTTGTAACTGCTTTTCCCCAGGGCCCTAAGGATTTTAGATACGGAAGTGGATAGAGAATTCGGCCGCAGTGCTGCCACCAGGTGACAAGTTTCTGGCCATACTCCGTGGAGTCAATGGAGTGACGGTGAACTCGTGGAAATAGACGAGCCACATTTATCAACGAAGAACAGTGTAATTTCTTCGAAGCACTTTTATATCATTTGCAAATATGGCTCGCAAAAAAAGGTAAACAGCTAAAAAATTTATCAATGAAGATTAAATTAAAAAGATGACTATATCCTTGAATAGAGTTTGATTAATTTAATTATAATAATAAAAGTTGAATATATATATACAATATTAATTAAGCAATTCTATTTGAAAGATTAGAATAAGTGGTGTGTTAGATCAATTATATTTTTTTAATATTTATATTTCGAAAATTGTATACATCAAGGCTACATTCCAAAACATATAATATATGTTACGTGGTTAGAGTATATTTTTGGAGTATATTTAGAGTATATTTTTGGAGTAAAATTTTTCTCGAAGAGGATGTTTTGAAATGTACCCCAAAATACTTTAATTTTGATTGCACGTTCATTCTATACTATTTTATAAAAGTGAAATGTTCTTATTTATGAATGTATTTCTATCCATGTTAGAACAAGGAAACCTCTCGTTAAGGAAGACACTAATGATATGGAAGAAGATATTGAAGATGTGAATATGAATGATGTGACAGATTCGGAAGAAGAATATACAGAAACTGAAAAGAAATTGTTAGAAAAAGTAAGGAAACAGCATACTATTGAAAATTTTGATAGTGACGATGAAGTTCTTGGTCTAAAGAATGACAATGAGGAAGAATCAGACGATCAACAAGATTCAATGGAATCTGACATTGAAGAGATACAAGAAGATTATGATATGCCAAACGACAGAGCTTGGGGCAGCAAAGCAAAAGCTTTTTACTCGTCAGATTTTAAATATACAGATTATGCATCAGCGCCTCAAAAAGATTTGATTAATGCAGAGATGGAAGAAGAAGAAGGAAAAAGGCTGCATTTAAGAGCAATGGGACAGCATTTAACTCTTGATGGTTCAAATTTGAATAAAAACAAGGTAGCTGAAATTATAGAAGACAGCACAGTTGTTCGAGAGGACAGAAAACAAGTGTCTGACAAGGAATCTTTTATGATTATGGTCAATACTTTTAAAGGTACTTCATAATGATATTAAAGACACTTTTTATTATTAATTTATTGTTAATTGTGATAATGATCATAATAGTGATTAGTTTGATCTAATTAATTTTAATTTAATTTGAATTAATGAATTAAGTTCTCAAAATCAATATTTTTTTGCATGCTGTTATATAATCATAAACAAAAATATTAATGATACCATTAAAAGTATTTATTGCATTGAATAAATAATTGCTTTTATTACAGAATGCATATTGGAAGCAAAAGATATTTTAGCACCCTTTCTTGAATTGGTCAAAGATGGAACATGTCCTGAATGCAACGCAGTAACTTTTATCAGAACCAAGTATGAAGTTATATTAAATTATTGCACAAATATTTCATTTTGTTTGATGCTGAAAATGAAGGAGCTGCCAATAAAAACGCATCCAGTTGTGAAACGTCTGGAGCAATATCGTCAATTGCTCGACGAATTGCAATCGGAGCAGGGAGATTTGTTAGAGCAAGTGACAGAGATACTGAAAGCGGTTAAGGAAGGTCGGCCTCTTTATAGCATATCAGATGGTTCTCTAGTACAAAGTAGTAAAAAGATTGCAAGACTTACCAACTTGACTAAACTGATAAATAAAAGAAAAGCAGTAATACAAGAAGAGAAATTATTATCTAATAGTACAGATGAAGAAGCAAGCATGGATGAAGATGTAGATATTGAAGAAAAGTACAATGACGAATCTGTAATTGATGAAAAAGATGATATCATTCTGAATAATATGAACGAAGAAGATGCCAAGAGAGCGATAACATATCAAATGGCGAAGAACAGAGGTCTCACACCTTACCGCAAGAAAGAACTGCGCAATCCACGAGTGAAGCATAGAAACAAATATCGTAAAGCCATAATTCGCAGAAAGGGCGCGGTATGTATAAAACATAAATATTAAACGTTTACTATTGTTACTGACATACACAAGAGCTCTTTGAATATTTTATACGAAATTTAAAAAAATTATTTCTTACAGGTGAGAGAAGTGAGAAAGGAATTGACTCGTTATGCAGGCGAGATCTCTGGTATCAAAGCGGGTGTGAAGAAAGGAATTAAATTAAAATAACTGAATAATTTTATTTAATGTAAACCATATGAATATTTTTTTTAAATATATGAATATTATATATAATTCTGTGTTCTGATATTTTCTCATTAATATATAATTTCTAAGATCAATCGTTCCAGTGTCATAAAAATTGGACATTTAAAATTCTGTCTGAAAATTATTGATGATAATTGCTTTATAATTGTAAAGCGCTCGTATTCAAATAATTAATATATGAAATTGTGTACAATAGTCACAAAATAAATACAATAGACAAATGCTTTATTTTATCAGAAAGACTTTATGTACAGTAAGAAACAATAGCATTTTAGCAGCAATAGAAAAAAATAGGTGTTTTTATCAAGTTAAACAGAACTTTTAATTACATATGTAAAACTCTGTGTACATATTTTTTGCTGTTAGTTAATGAAGTTCTAGAAGAACACCTTGTAGCATTTACAAAACTGGAAACTTAAATTCAACGAGTTAAACTTCTACTTTGGCTAATATATCCGACTCGCGGAACAAGTGGTATTCCTTGTTGTCTTCAAGTTCAACTTTTGTACCGCCATATTCAGGAAGTAACACAACATCTCCAATCTTAATGCTTAAAGGCACATGGTCTCCTTTCTGATGACAAAGAAAAAGATAATACAATTATTAACAGATAATTTAGAGAAATATTTTTAAAAAATATAAACATATATTCTTGTACTCACATCATTTCTCGCTCCAGGGCCTGTGGCCACAACTGTGCCTCGCAAGACTTTTGCTTGAGCTTTCTCTGGCAGTACAATACCACCCTTCGTTTTGGTAATAGCCTCGGCCCTTTGTATGAGAACTCTGTCAAAGAGAGGAATCAGCCTCTTTACAGCATTGGCAGCAGCCTGAAAATACATAAATGTTTACAATTACTAATATAATATATTATTTCAACTTCAGGTGTTAATATCAAGAACAAGGTAATTAATCTATTAGTCAATTTTGACTTAATTAACTAAATTTATAAAATTTATGATTAAATTTAATTCTACCACACTGACTTGTGTATTTAATCATCATCTTCAAACTTTTTCGTGAATTTAAGACAATAACGAAATTTAACAAAAAAGAAATGTATGATGACGAAAGTTGCAAGCGAAATTTCTCTTATAGCAAAAGTTACGAGATACCTGCATATTCGATTGCTTCGTGTAGAGATTAACGTTATTACGAATTACCTATGAACGACAAGGATACAATTACAGTCGAGAGATACCGGTCTATTATCTCGACAAACTTAAACAAAAGCAATTCGCTTCGAAGTGATCAGATATACACGACGGAAAACGGTGCAACATCTTCCGATCCGTTTTCAAACGGTGACTTCGGAGATAACACACATGCAAGTAAGAAGCATTACTGTGCAGATACCAAACTATTTAAGGGTTATCGGAAAATGACTACGGAACGGTGTGTCTGACGCCACGTGGATTTTCCCCGCGAAAAAGAAGGCATTCTCGCTATCGCTTCTCTTTCTTACAACGGTCCACAGAGATCCACGTGTATACAACAATAAATGACTCACCATGATCGCGATCCCTTTACAATCACCGAGTCGATCGGAGTACAAAACCGGCGACGAACACACACTCGTGAACTCGTGCACGTTGTGTAACCTAAGCCTGATGAACCCGAGTCCTGAACCGCGAGCAGCCGGACCGGCAGTGAAACGAAACGGAGCAGTACGCGCACGCGCGCAACGCGATATTCTCGAAGGTTCCTCTCCACGGTTGCTAACACCTTCCCTCCCCTCTACGCCATAGTTATCATGAATTGATTGTGACCACGAAAAAAGGAGCGTTATATAACGCGAGCGCGCGGAGAGTCGTGAGAACGCGCAGCCATTACCCGGCACATTTTATTCGAGGAATGTTCTAGGAATATTCTTACGACGTAGAGACATTTTTAATAAGGATGTTGTGTCACATTTAAAAACAATACCAAAATTATGAAAATTTCAGAGATTACTTTGTACATCCAACATCTATAAAATTTGATCATAATTCTTTAAAGCTGAGTCAGCAGTCTATAGATTCACTAATAGATTATGGATAAGTAGATTTATTGTTTATCTTGATTCTTATATGTAAAATTGTCTGATACTTGATTGTAAATTTAACGAGGACGTATAACATTATGGGAATTAAATTTCTTACAGCTTGGGGCTCAATAAGCTTATATGTATGTACAATCATGTAGAATAATTCTGCGTGTACTTGCGGTATATTATAATGAAATTCTTATTTATTGCATTCTGAATGAACTTGGTCGAAATTGTAACTTGGAGTAATCATTCCTACAAATATCTATGCAAAGACGGCATAATAGGAGAAGGAAAAAAAGGTGATCGTCAGCAGTCGGCCGATTGCATCATTTGCAATATTTGCATCATGCGGAGTCGCCGTACTTTCTAGAACATACGCCACGCGACAACTTTACGGTTTTTACGCGGCACTTTGGGCCGGTCTCACCAACTCCGATTAATCTAATCGGTCGATTAAGGCCCAGTTCAACAACTCATGTTGTTAAGAGTTAACTCTTAACAGAGATTCAACTTGTTTCTCATCTTTTTTCAATTCTATAATTGGAAAGACAATGAATAAGTTGAACCTTGGTTAAGAGTTAACCGTCAGTTGTGGAACTGGGCCCAAGTGTTAACCGTAATTAGTCAATTCTGCTGGACAGCAAATGCAATTTATCAGTTCCAATGTAACAGTCAATCGATTAAAGTTAATCGGAGTTGGTGAGACCGGCCCTTTGCAGCGTTCGGAAGAACCGTTGTTTACACGATGATCCAGGGCACCAGGGTAATCGTACACGATATGATACGCTACTGAGAGTCACCGTCGCGCATGCGTGAAAAATCCCTCCCCCCTCCGCCCCGCGACTCCGATCACTGCATCCATGTGATATCGCACGTTCTTCGTTTTCTCATTCTCTGCGCTCATTCCACTCGTCTTTTATCAGCGAAGGCAACGTTCGCGGTTCGATCACGCCGTTATCGATTTTCAGCATCCTCAGCTTCCAACACCGATCGTCGATCGTTCATCAAAGAATTTCCCCCAAGGATCGAAGGTGAAGCGATTGAGCCGCGAATTCGTGCCACGTGCTTCTCCGGGAAATTCGAGAAACTTCGCCGGAACGAATTTTTAGCCGGCCGGGTATATCATTCGCACTCGCGATTCTCTTCGCGATCGTTCGGCGAAATATTACTTATTCTATTCTTCACAACCAATTTGTGCGAGAGAAAGTATGCGGTTAATCGAACGATTTTTAGTCAGATCCCGCGATAATTTCTGTTAAACGTTAACCTTCAATCGCCACGCCACGCGGGTTTACATAACCGCGTTCCCGGAGTAAAGTAATTCTCACTATCGAGGACTATTGACTTCGGTTATCCGTGATAAATCGCTCTTTACGCAACTTCTTTAGTGTTCAACGAAACTTGTTTCGTTAGATTGCGAAATATTTACATTTACAAGCAACGTCAGAGAAATATGATGAAAGAGCTAAATCTAGAATTTTTATTATTTCTTATTTGCATTTTATTATCATTCACAAAACGCGGCGTTGTACGTGCTATTAATTATGTTGACCTATTAATTGTTTACAGAAGCCTGTTCTTGTATTTCTATTCACAAAAAAGTATAAAACACACACACATATATATGTATAGGATTTTCGTATATTTTTCTTTTTGTTTGCAATAATGGCAGATAGGGAATCTATGAGAACCCAATATGTTTAATAATGAACCCAATGCTATTAATGATTGCATCAGAAATTAGAATTAAGCATATTAGTGAACAATAAATTATTCTTAACTGACATACATTATGTATTTCTTTTTTACAGATGCATAGATTACCTACTGTATTGAGAGGAGCTGCTCTGCGCCAGTTGCAGGCACGTACTTATGCCAAAGACGTGCGTTTTGGGGCTGAAGTTCGTGCCTTGATGTTGCAAGGTGTAGATATTTTAGCAGATGCCGTTGCCGTAACGATGGGTCCTAAAGGACGTAACGTTATTCTGGAGCAGAGCTGGGGAAGCCCAAAGATTACAAAGGATGGCGTGACTGTAGCAAAGGGCATTGAACTAAAAGACAAGTTTCAAAATATCGGAGCTAAGTTGGTACAGGATGTAGCTAATAATACCAATGAGGAAGCTGGAGACGGTACCACTACTGCAACCATATTAGCTAGAGCAATAGCCAAAGAAGGATTTGAAAAAATCAGCAAAGGTGCCAATCCCGTAGAAATCAGACGAGGTAAGTGTATCAATTTATACAATAAATGGTTTATTTTTATATCATTTTCTTCAAATGACATAATTTTTTAATTATTAATCTAAATTAGTTAGATAATCGTCATCAATTACACCAACATGATACTGTTAAAGATGGTCAGTCACATGGGAGTTCGCATGACTTCTAAAATTTAAGTGACTAATATCCAGTTTCTTCACCTCTAGATAATTTTATCCAAGAGATATTTCCCAGAATACAATGGAGATATCTCCTGGATAAGGTTATCTGCAACTTATCTGGAAATGAAGAAATTGGGCATAAGAAATTGATACAATACTAATTTATAATTTATTAGATTTATAGACATATATATAAAATTTATATCAATTGTCGATAATGGCATCGTTCTTTAATTATCCTGGGTTCTCATTGATTGTCACGAAAATTTGCCCAGGGCAGGCTATCTTTAATAGTATCTCGTTGGTGTCAATTATCAAAAGCGAATTAACTTAAACTGATGACACAATATGTTTGTTTTCCTGCTGGATTGCTAGCTGGATTAAAATCTTGCCACTGTATTGGCTGTAGTGCTGATAGTGACAGCATTGCAGCCAATATGGTGACAAGCATCTAATCCAACTAACAATCGAGCAAGAAAACAAACACTGTGTGCCGCCGGTTTTAATTTCATAAAAAATCCATCAAAACATTTCAATTCCAAAAAGATAGTTTTAAAAAAATCGTCAAATATTACAATTCAGAAAGGATTTTTTTTAAGGTGAAATGAAAATGACATTTAATCGTATTGAGAAAACTTTCCTTTTTATCAATATATTACTTGATTAGTTAATAAGAGTTTCTGTCAAAAATAATTTTTCCTCTTTTCTGGGAAACTTTATTTTTTGTACTTAATTTTTTTCATTTTTGAAATAAATATGTATATGTATCTTGGAGGGTCTAGGAAATGTTGAACTTTGATCCAAGCTTTGAGATAAATCAAGGAACAATCTATATACATTACTATACATAATATTTTTATGAAATATGAAAATAAGAATATTTATTTATGAGATAATATTAAACAATTTATGATTTTGTAGGTGTAATGTTAGCAGTAGACAAAGTCAAAGATGAATTGAAAACTCTGAGCAAACCTGTCACAACACCCGAAGAAATCGCCCAAGTGGCAACAATATCCGCTAACGGCGACAAAGCCGTCGGCGACTTGATCTCGGACGCTATGAAGAAGGTCGGGAAGGAAGGTGTGATCACTGTGAAAGATGGCAAAACGCTCATCGACGAACTTGAGGTCATAGAGGGGCTGAAGTTCGACAGAGGTTACATTTCTCCATACTTCATCAACTCCAGTAAAGGAGCCAAAGTCGAGTTCCAAGACGCGCTCCTTCTCTTTAGTGAAAAAAAGATCTCTTCCGTTCAAAGCATCATACCCGCTTTGGAATTGGCGAATTCACAACGCAAACCTCTTGTCATAATCGCCGAGGATGTGGATGGGGAAGCTTTATCAACCCTCGTTGTTAATCGTTTGAAAATTGGGCTGCAAGTGGCTGCGGTTAAAGCTCCTGGTTTTGGTGACAACAGGAAGGCCACTCTTCAAGATATGGCGATATCCACCGGTGGCATTGTGTTTGGTGATGATGCCAATCTCATCAAATTAGAAGACGTTCAGGTATCTATCCAATCTAATAGTAGTTTGATTGTATCATTTTATTGTTTTCAGAAAGGATTACTTATTTATTTTATACTTCTTCATAACTTCAACTCTCCAATAAATTTTTTATAAATTTAGGCATATGGGATAAAAGTTGGGATTTGAATTTGAGACTTGCCAACTTGTTGGGTTTTGTTCTCATACGAAATCACATTACTCCAGTTAAAATTAATTTCACAAGTAACTTTGACCTTATTTAGGTTTAGAACTTGTAATTTCTAATTTCTTAATAACGGAATAATATCTTTTCTACTTAAATAATAGAGTTAAGTAATGGCAAGATCGGAAATCAAACCTGAACTTATTACTTTATAGGCAACTGTTCTACTAATAAGTTGTCTAGCGCATTCATCAGCCACTCTTTAACGAATGTAATACTTTTTTCTCTAGCTAAGCGACTTGGGTCAGGTGGGAGAAGTCATCATTACAAAGGATGACACTCTCATCTTAAAAGGCAAAGGAAAAAAGTCTGATATCGATAGAAGAGCTGATCAAATCAGAGATCAAATTGAAAACACCACATCCGATTATGAAAAAGAGAAGCTGCAGGAACGTCTGGCGAGGTTAGCGTCAGGCGTCGCCGTCTTGAGAGTTGGCGGAAGTAGTGAGGTGGAAGTTAACGAAAAGAAAGATCGTGTACATGATGCGCTCAACGCCACTCGCGCCGCTGTCGAGGAAGGAATCGTTCCCGGAGGTGAATTTTTATTTTCATCAGCTTGTTTCCACGTAACTCGCATACTTAAATATATATTAAATTGTTAAATATAACATTAATTTTTTACAGGCGGCACCGCATTGTTGAGATGCATACCAATATTACAACAGCTTAAGGCTGTGAACGGCGATCAAGAAACTGGAATCAAGATCGTGGCGAATGCTTTGCGTATGCCATGCTTGCAGATCGCGCAGAACGCCGGCGTTGACGCCAGCGTGGTAGTGGCCAAAGTAAGCGAGGGCAAGCTCGGCTACGATGCCCTTAAGAATGAGTACGTCGACATGATCGAAAAGGGCATCATTGATCCCACGAAAGTCGTACGAACAGCACTTACGGATGCTGCCGGTGTGGCATCGTTGTTGACAACGGCAGAAGCGGTCGTCACCGAGATACCCAAAGAAGAACCCCAACCACCAATGGGCGGTATGGGCGGTATGGGTGGAATGGGTGGTATGGGCGGTATGGGCGGCATGATGTAAAAAGTGAAACACAAAGACTGAGAAAAAGACAGCCCATGAGTTACATTCTTGTTTGTAATGAAACGCGATTGTACTATGCTACATTGTTTAAAAAATTTTAAACATCGAGAGAGAGATTCTGTTCAAATGGAATAAAATAGATATCCGTACTATCTCGTACAATTTGTACTTTGAAACATTACAGGCGATAAAATACCACTCGTGTAGTATGAAACTATTTTTATGAAACGCCGTTTCCACTAATTTTGTTTTACGAATCTGTAATGCTATGAATCTATACGGAGATCGCTCGATTTATTTCGTTCAATTTGTGCATACGTAAATATTTCAAATACAAATGCATTTAATAATGTAAAAAATTCACTACGTGAGACGAACTTGTTAACGTGTTTATACAGAATGTAGAATTACGATGAATTGACAAATTCAACCAATTTATAACAATAATAATTCTTGAATTCTATTCACCGTTATATTCCCAATATTCCAGATTTACATTGTTTCATAAAAAAAATATAGTTGTAAAAATGAGTAGTTTATTCAATATTTTATACAGTTTCCTAGTTATAATATTCATTAAAGATATAAATGTAAAAATGAATGTGCGCGTATTAATTGTGGAAGGTTAATTATTTTGGCTTTCATGATTTTGCAATTGTTAAATTTATTTTCGGTTTGAATAAATGTGTTAAAATTATAATTTATCTCTCCATGCCATACTTAACATTGCTAGATAGATTGTGGCAAGTAAATGATTAATAAGATTGATAAGGATAGAGCGAAAAATTTTATTAGAATAGATATAAATATATGGTATTACATTATATTGTGTTTGTCGTTTTTAAACAATTATTCAAATTGATATAAATATGCCGAAATAATATTTAATCACAATATAAGGAATTTGCTACTACATTACCATCTTATTCGAGGCCTATTCCACCGTGATCATCTTAAATATCTATTTATTGACATTTATATTTTCAGAATACGCTCGTAGAGCTTAAAACTGCTATTTTCTGAAATTATAAACATTTAAGAAGATATTCAAGCCGATCAAATCATATCTCGCGCGATTACTTAAAGAGACAAACATAATAAAAAAATATTCTTATATTATGCTTTTCTGTTAGTTCCCTATTATATTACACATATAAAATATAACCTGTTTAAATTTTTAACATAACCTGTTGCATGAATTGTTTTACTTGATATACTTGACTGTACATCGAGTGCGTTTTGATTATAAATAAAATTATACAGTTGGAAAAAAAATGTTCCACAAGTTTTTCTTTAACAAATGAAGTTTAAAGTGGGATAGAATTTTTTAATTAATCGAATAAACAGCGTATACGTGCAGTCAACATATGCAACATAAAAATATTTTCAATTTTTAATTTTATTTCGATCCAATGAAATATACCAAACATGGATGCGGAAGAAAAAATACGAGACAGTAGACAAGCAGTTTTGTAGTGTACAGTTACATACTTGGAAAAGAAATATCTCATTTTATATTCAAAATACAAAGAGAAGTCCGCTTTAAAAAATAGTATATTAAAGCCTAGATATATCCATGATAGGAAGCCATATTAACCTAAGCTCCGATTTTCTCGATTTCATCTGCATCTTCTGCATCGAGATAATGGATCTTCTTACCAAAGTGTTTTTCTATAGTCCGACACAATTCCATCGCGTGATCCGAGTCGATTAGATTAATGGCGATCCCTGACTTGCCGAACCGTCCCGTTCTTCCGATTCTGTGTAAGTATGTTTCGCAATCGGCTTGCCGATTTTGATCCATCGGCAAATCGAAATTGACTACTATCGTTACCTGTTCTACATCGATGCCTGCCAAAAACATTGTACATTATTACTAACATATTGTTTTACTATACCTACAGATAAAAGTTTATAAACTATATGTATATACATATGTGGTGGTCGATATCTTAACAATATTTTTTAAGGACACATCTTAAAATTATCTTCTAAAAGTAACACCAGAATTTTTTCTGACTCTCTGAACAATATTAACTCGTACCACCAGGATTTTGAAATTTAATATATGGAAACTTTTTCAATTTTTTTTTTAAATATTTCAGAAGACAGATTTCATTCGGATTAACCAAATCAAAAATAAAATTTGTCGACTGAATTATTTGCTTTTGCACGAGTCAATTTTTTTCAACCAAAAAATGAAAGCATCCCTCCTAAAAAATCTTTTTTTTTTGTAACTTTGTTGAAACATATCTTCAAATTTTATACTGTACAAAATCGATTTTCGTATGTCTTTTCGCTTAAAACAAGCCCCGGATTGGTAAAAAATTGAAAGATGTTTATAAGAGGAAAGGTAAAAGAAAAAAAATTTGTTACAAAACACACTTTGTCGGAAAAAATCATAGAGATAACGAAAAACTTTAAGGAGTGTCCCGATCAAGATTGTTAAAATAACGATCACTCTGTGTGTGTGTGTACGTGTCATATATTAAACAATTTTGCCTGTCAATTTTGGGACTATCACAAATTATAATGAATTGCATACTAATCATTAAGAGAATAATATATACTATTATTGCTAAAAAAAAAATGGCTACCAAAATCAGCAATAATTTTTCCGAGATCATGTAAAGCTCGACCTTATCGTCATTTTTTAATAGAATTGAATGACTTTTTACATAACATTCCTCTATTCTGCACATAAAAATAGAAGGTAGAATTATTAAAAATCAATAATTTTTACAAGATATTTTATATTTTAACATGAAATATAAAATATCTCATACATTATTGATTTTTTGGTTACTATATTTTATCACTTTTAAACAAAACAATATAACAATATAAAATCAAAGGCACTTTTAAACAAAACAATATAAAATAATAGAATAATTCGTATAAAATACAGTTATTTTTCAAAATATAATATGTAATTGCATATTGCAAATTGCATAATTTTTTTTTAAGCACCTATGTATTTTCTTTAAACTAATTAATTCATTTCATTAATTAGTACATAAATGTATTAAGGTCTGGTTACAAAAAAAAGTAATATTTTATGAAATATTTTTTTTCTAAAATGTGCCAATGTGTTCAATGCTTCAGAGATATCTCCAAACAGCATCGACTTAGAGGATGTATATGAAACATTTTGATTTTCTAACAATAACCTTTCATTTTATTGTTAAAAATTAAATTTTCTTAAGACTGCTGCATATACTTTCCATAAGTAACCATAAGATATATCGTAAGAATTAGCCAATCACAGTTAATTGTAAAAAAAATTCAGCTGATTGGCTATTTTTTACGGTACATTTTATTGTTACTATTATGGAAAGTGTGTAACTCTTATTATATGCAACAAATTCAGAATCCATAAAATATAAAAATAGGTAAAGTCTTTTCTTTGTATTTACCTCTAGCTAAAACATTTGTAGTGATAAGAACTTTCTCGAGTCCTGCTCTAAATCTATCCAGCACAGAAATTCTTTGTTCCACTGTCAAGTCACCAGATAATATTGCTACCGCATGTCCGTCTTTTGTCATTTTTCCTGCCAACCAACTAGCTGTTTTCTTCGTCTAAAAATAAGACATACTTTATTATAAAGTTGTCTCTATAGGATTTAATTAATATTTAATATACAATCGATCTTACATGACAGAAAATAATCGCTTGTCCAATAGTAATCACGCCATAAATATTAGTGATAGCTGTATATTTTTCATCTACATTTTTGCATCTAATATAGTATTGCTTGATATTATCTAAACTTTCTTCTTCCCTTAATAGCCGTATTATTAGCGGATTACTGACTATAATCTCCGCAAAGTTCATTACTTCCGGCTCGTACGTCGCAGAGAAGAACATCATTTGACACGTACGTGGCAGTAATCTATTCATGAAACAAGTATAGGTAATATTTTGCACAAAATATAAATATATTCGATTACATAAATATTAAACATCTCGGAAAAATTACTTGTGAATACGAATACACTGATCTTGATGGCCTTGCGTAGCAATCATAACATCAGCTTCGTCCAATACAAATACAGATATTTTGCTTAAATCGAAGAACTTGAATTTTTGTCCCCAATCCAACACTTTACCTGGAGTTCCTATAATAATATGTTCACTAATCTTTGAACCGCGGCTTACTGAAACAATTAAAGCAATATAATCCTAGAGAACAATTTATTTTAATAGACAATTCAAATTGCACGAGAGAATGATATATTACTTTCTTCTCCTCTTACAGCGTACTTTATTTTTATCTCAGGACAGAAGCGCGACATCTTTGCCGCTACTTCGCCGGTTTGGATCGCTAGTTCATAAGTCGGCGACAAACAAAGTACCTGTGGATACTCCTTCGTAACATCTACCCGACTCAACATGGCAAGTACAAACGCAGCTGTCTTACCCGTACCAGATTGAGATTGTGCGATCATATTTTGTGGTCTGAAAAAAATTTCAAGCAAGTTTGAAAGTTGTCTTTCCTTAAGAAAAGTCAAGAATATCGAAAATAAATAATAATTCTGGTAAATACTTACGGATCAGCGAGTAAAGTAGGTAAAGCAGTTTCTTGAATTCTAGAGGGTGCATTGAATCCCAAAGCATAAACCCCTTTTAACAAGGCAGGTTTGCTATATGCAAAATAAGAAATATTTGTAATTTATATATACATATATATACATATATATACATATATATATATATGTGTGTATATGTCATCATATTGAATTATATCACAAATATTAGGCTTTTCAATTGATGACATAAGACGACACAAGTTTCGTTTTATCTTCGTTATTCACTGAATACTACAAAGAATCATGCTTGTGTCAACTTGTATCGCCAAATAAAAAGCATCCAATAGTAGTAATGACTAAAACCAATGGTCTAAATCAATGTTCAAGATCTATATTTGGGCATTGATATGATGTATATCAGTGTTTATGTCCATTACTTTTCTTTTTCTTAATGAAGATATGAAAAAGAAGGCAATATACATAAAAGAAGGCATATGCATAAACTCTAATACATGTTAAGTCAATGCTCAGAATTACAAATACTAGACAGCATTGGTTTCAATCAGAGATCTCCTTGTAACAATTAAAAGTTAATTAAAATGAATATATGTATATAATTATTTACAGATGAAGTGCATCAAAGGTTTTGACACTGTATAACGGAGAATTTGGATCTTGTCTTTGAATCTCTATATCCTTCGTTGTCTCCACTAATCCTTTTCTTATGATCTTTTGCAGGAGCGACTTCTCTGCTGGCGAGATCTGTTCTTCTGACGTATCATCATCACTCTTGGAATCTCCATCTTTCACAGTTGGAACAGAGATAGACGTCGAGTTTGGTTTATCCAAGTTTAAACTCGTCACCTATATATGATACATACAATCAATGTACTTGCTACATCAGTTTGACATGATGGTTCTAACTAAAGCTTACATTATTTTCTTTTTTTTTCAGGCATAGCGTGTTTCAACAAACGAAAAACAGATCAACCGTATGAGTTACAACAGAAGAAAATAAAAACAAAAAAGTTATGAATCTAAGTCACCTAATAGCTAGTCGTGAAACCGTCAATAGCAATGATTCCATGTGATTCATGAAATGGATATCGTAAACATCAAAAGAATCACGCTTACACCGTTGTAGCGCATCCGCAACAATCCCGTTTTACCTTCGACGCCAATTTATCCTGTTCATCGGCGCACTGCCCCCAGTCGACCTTAGTCGAAGCCATGTCCGTTGACTACTCGATCAGTATCTACGACAAAGAATCCGCTATCGAACTAGTTCTTAAGATGAACTTCCAAAACTTAAAAATATATTTGATTGCAAATACTCAAGTACAGAAAACCGTTCAGTGTTCACATGCGTTAGCTCAAATTAGAGAGAAACTAGAGAGAGGACATGAGGGCATTTTTCCTATAACCGCAAAATGCGCACTACTGCCCTCTCAAGAAGTGGATGTCAACCACACAACAATGGCTGCGTTCAGTAAACTCAACAGTTGAGTGAGCGCTCGCTGTTATTGGTGTATTCTTTTAGATCATCCAATCAGCATTTTAGATCTGGGAATCAATCATGAAACTTTTTTCCTAGGATGAAAAGTGAAAAGTGAAAAATTTCTCGATTAACTTCAATGGTTAAAATTGCAGTGTGAATCCAGCAATATGCTGAATTCACACTGCAATTTTAACCATTGAAGTTAATCGAGAAATTTTTCACTTTTCACTTTTCATCCTAGGAAAAAAGTTTCTGTATCCGATTTGCGTCGTATGACGCTCTGCAACCAATCGGAAAACAAGATTCCGATGATACGAAGCAAAATCCAGCAATAGACATATGAGATAGACCCAGCATACATATACTTTTCTATACATGTTGGTCTGACAGAACGGTGCGAAAGACAAAATATCGGGACATCCTGTCCTTCTCTGCCCGCGCATTTTGACAACCTTGACAAAATCAAAATGGCTGACTACGTTAAAATTGTCTGCATTCATTGGCTGCATTCAGTAGACTCAACAGCTTTGCAACCGTTTTATGATTCTTCGTTCAGGTTGGACTATTCCTTTAAAACTAAAAGTATAAATCAATCAGCGCGACGAATCATAAAACGCATTGCAAAACTGCTGAGTTTGCTAAACGCAGCCTTTGTATCCATTACCCCGAATTTACAATAGGTGTTTTAAGTCTTAAGCCGTAAGAAATTGACCAATTACAATTGAATTCGAGAAGAATAAGCGACTGTGATTCGCCCATTTCTTATAGCTTAAGACTTAAGGTGTCATCTTCAATACACAGAGTAAGAAGTAAGAGTAAGAAATTGACCAGTCACAGTCGATTATTCTTCTCACATTCGACTGCGATTGGTCAATTTCTTACTCTTACTTCTTACTCCGTGTATTGTAGACGGGCCTTGAAACCCTATTGTAGATCCGGACTTAATGCTTAAAACATTTAGGCCGCGGTCCGATACACGCTCACAACGCTTAAAAATCATTTCATCCTTGTTGTTTGTCAAATGTTAAACGAAGACAAATAATGCTCATGAGCGTTGTCAGCATGATTCGGACCACGGCCTTATTGTAGACCCCCGCGTAATGCAGCCTTCTGATTGGTTCGTGACTTCTTAAGAGCGTACTTAAGACGGTCTTGAATAAAAGATCTGACTATGAATCGGCCTACGATAATCTAATAGCGTATTCGATTACTGACTCGATCCGACTCCGAGTCAACAGTCTGTTCTTTTTAGCTGCATTTCTTACACGTAATTTAGCTCTTCTTTTGCAACTAAACAGAACAGACTATTGACTCGGAGTCGGGTCGAGTCAGTAAATCGAATACGCTATAATATAGGGGCTCCGCACAATACACATTGCGTATTCCACAATACACGATTTCTGATAGATTGAAATTGTTATTCTCTGTTCTCTGTTCCCTGTTTCTTTTATTGTGCGGAGCCCCATAGTGTTTTCGAATGGAGTGGGTTTGAACCCGATCCAAGTCAGTTAACTCATGGTGGAAATATATAAGATGAAGCAATCTGATATAGCGTTTTTGATTGGGGTGCACTGGCTGCACTCAGTGTCAAGAGCGTGTTCGATTGGCAGTGCCAATGCGCACTTGGCTAGTGTCACGTGTTCATTTGATCGCACGACACTCGCGTAGTGCGCACTCAGTGCGCACTAAGTGGCACGAGATATTTTGACGGTGCCAGTTCAGTAAACGTTTTATCACAGTTAAGGATATACATAGGGACAAGCAAATCTGCGCAGTTGAATTGAAAACGGGGTCTGTCCCTACTCTTATAGCGTTTTCGGCCCGAGGTTTGCACCAACCTGGGTTGGATTAATGGCGTTTTGCGCTCTCCTATTGGTAGAGCGTGTGACATCAACCAATAGGAAAGATTAATCCAACCCAGGTTGGTGCAAACCCGATCGGGCCGAAAACGCTATTAATATCTTCTACTGTAGTTTTGTAACATTTTGTTGAACATTGCTTCAAAGTGAACAAAAATGAGTTTCAGCTTTAGCACTGAAAATCTTGGCGTATTCTTTTGAACTTGCACTATTCAGTGCAACCCATGGAACTCGTCCAGTGTTGGTGTGAATTGAGTGCGCACTGGTGCGCACTAACTTTTGCCCAATCGAAAACGCTAATAGATGCGCAGTAGGAAAGTGCATATTCGGACATATGTGATTGGCTATTTCCAATATTGCTACCGTCATTATGTGTATTGTTTCACCTTATATATTTCCACCATGAGTTAACCCGTCTTTGACCCAAAAATATTATGACCAAACAGAAATCGAAATAGAACATGTGAAATCAAAGATCCAACCCGGATCAAGGGCTCTATTCTTGAAAAGAAACGTATACGAAAGTCTAGGGAAATGCTATAGTATACGTTACATATACTATAGTATTTCCCTAGACTTTCGTATACGTTTGGGCCTGCGCACAATAGAGGTTGAAATCTTAATATCTAATTCTTGTTCCTCTATTGTGCGCAGGCCCTTTCTTTTCAAAAGTAGAGCCCCTGGGGATCGATTCTGTATCTTGAAACGAGGTGAAAATTACAAAAGTGAGTGAATTTACTTGAATACTGATAATTTCATTGGTCAATACCTAGTAAATTTGCTCACTTTTGTAATTTTCGCCTTGATTGAAGATACAGGGGCTCTATTCTTGAAAAGCCACTGCATTCGAAAACGCTATAATAAAAAGTTACTAGTTCATGCGCGTATCAAATGCTCGGTGTAAAAGGGGTCAAAGGAGTCTCCGATTTTGCGATTTGGTTTCCATCTTGACATCTTGCTATGTCTCGGTTTGAAACCCTTAAATCTCATTAATGTTCCTTGATTTCGTTCTGTCTTACGAATATTGACGAGAAGTTGTAACTTACGATGTCAGAACAGTAAGTATTTTCATTTCTTATTCCAGAATATCACATAATTAATTTTGGAATTTTATTTTCGTGTAATTTTCCATTAAAACCATAACTAGAAAACGATTGCTCCGAATTTCCGCGATCGCGGATCCTCGTTCGAAATAAGCAGGTTAGAATCGCTAATGCTCCTAACAATGACGTAAATTGTTGTCACTTTGGAGACCAGAGATTTTTCTTTCCCATTAACGCTCTTGTAATTAGATTTTCTCGTAAAAAAAACATTTCGTTAATTCTTTCAGTGATGATACCTTGCTGGATGAAGATCTCGGAGATGAAGAATACGATCTTGGTAATGACGAGGAGGAGGCTCTCCTAGCAGATGACTATGAATTAGAAAGGGTAAGCATATTGTTCCGTTCTTCAATCGGATGAAATTTTACGATCGATATATTCGGTTCTCTCAATTATGATAGTTTTTTTCTTCTTTATACACGATGATACCTTAATCTAGAAATTATCTTATTTTTAAATCTTTATTTGTGTTGCTTTCGTTAAGTTAATTTATGCCGAAAGTAGTTTTTACAACTATTATTATTCATTGTCGCTAACCGAACAAATAATGTTAATCCTCTATAACTATAGATTTTTTTATATTTGGAAAAAAATTATGTATATATGTTGATTTTGAGATATATGAATTAACAATTAATTTTTAATTTTTTAATATTTTATTCTGAAAAATAATTTATGACTTTGAAGTTTTTCATAGTGGAGTACAACACTTGCATATACATGTGTAATATAGTTTTATTTATATGTTAAGTATGTGAAAGTCCATAAAACAATTCGCATTTGAAGTTAAAAATTAAGCAAAAAAATATATATTGCATTTTGAACATTATATTTTAAAAACCTTTATCTCCTAATATTTTATGTCTCTTTTTATCAGAAATAATTTACCAATGAGCTATCCTCATTTTTTGTAAAAAATCCACTGTAAATAGACTTCTAGGTAACGATATTGCGATGCAGTATGGTGCACCAATAAAATATTATGTTCAATTATGATGAAAATATGAAATAAAAGTTAAAAAATATAAATATGATAAATATAAATATGATGATATAATTTCAAAATTACATGGCGTTATAGAGGGTTAAAAAATAAACTAACAATGTTTCTGTTTTTCACGAAAATACTCTGATGTTTCTTATAAGGGATTCCAGTACAGTGTGTCCAATACAGAAGTTGACTGATTGTTTACAAAGCCTAAAATTCTTTAATTTATATAATAATTATAATATGTCGATACTTATAATTTATATATGTATATTTTATATATATTATATCGTTACCTGTCAACATTTTAATGCATTTTATGCATGAGTTAAAGAATTGGAATTGCAATACAGATGTAATATCAATTATATCGACACTCGTTGATTGTACTAGGAAAAAAACTTGATTTTTTCTCACGTATTCTTCTATCTATCGCATACGATAAATCCAAAACTTTAAACATGCGTGATATATAACTAATTGTTATATATATCTAGTTTAACATATGTAAATGTACTCACGTGTGCCACGTAATATCTGTTGTGCTGGATATTTTTTCAGTAATTATAAATAGATATTTTCCGTTTGGAAATACCTATTTTACACGCGGATATATTTGTACTTTAACGCGGATATATAACTAAGTTTGATATTTTATTGTTTAATATTTCAATATATATATATACAAGACATCTTTTTTATATATATAGATATAAATACTTGTGAAAATTGTCACTACAGTTACGCGAAAAATATATGCTTGGTGTAAGCACGTAATTTGTATCAATGAATAGCTAAAAAGTTTTGTGGGTAGAAAAAATACAAGTAGCTGCTGATAAATTGTTGTAATATTAAATGTTATAAACAAATAAATTACATTGGTTTATTATATATGAAAAATGTTTTTTATATACATACATAATAGCTTGAGATATTTATGTTTATTTTAAAATATTTCTGATACAATGCAACACATGTAC